CCGGCACCCCTCGGAGGATGTCCACTTGCCAGCGGGGAGCAGGCCTAGCTGCAGTCGGACATCCTTAGCGCTGCTGAGGAGGCGGGAGAGGCTCCCACCACCACTGCTGTACTGGCAGCCGTCAGCCTGGCTTGTGGCTGAGCAGAGCTCCCCCTGTGGGAGCACACTGACCACCAGGGGGCAGCACCTGCATTGAGCATCTGCCCCCTGGTAGTCAGTGTGTCATAGTGACCAGTCATTCCTGGTTGCTCTGCTGTTAGGGTCAATTTGCATATTAACCTTTTATTATATAGGATAGAGGCCTGGTGCATGGGTGGGGGCTGGCTGGTTTGCCCTGAAGAGTTTCCCAGATCAGGGTGGGGGTCCTGCTGGGGACCCTGGCCAGTCTGGGTGAGGGGCTGATGGCTGTTTGCAGGCTGGCCAAAGCCTCCAGCCACCCAAGCTCCCAGTGGAGGCTGGCTGGAAGCAGGTATCTGGGATTTATTTAGTTTCTATAATTGAAACTTTGTTGCCTTTTGCGGAGGCTACAGCTGGCCGAGGGAAGCTTGGCTTCCTCCATCGCCAGGGCATCCAAGCCTCCTGCTTGCTTGCTCTGTGGCTTGTCGGCCGCCATCTTGGTTGGGTTAATTTGCATATAGACGCTCTGATTGGCTGGCTGGCGTGGCTTTGGCGTAGTAAAGGTATGGTCAATTAGCATCTTTGTCTTTTATTAGTGTAGATAATACAGGTGAGGTTGTCGCCCTTGTTGTGTTTTTTGCCCAGCACACTTTTCTCCTTCTTCTGATGAGAGCACCACTCTCCTCTGTTTCTTCCCTTTGAGGGCTCTTCCTCTGCCACTCTACTCAGGCTCTGCCCAAGCCACAGCAATGTGCATATGACACAGACCTGGCCAGTGCATATCGCATTCTGGCACAAGAATGGTCCCCAGGATGAGCATAGGGCCATCAGTGAGGCAGACAAGTTGTTATTTGGGTTTATTTCATGAAGCTAGGAGAGAGCATTTTGCCTTTTCCAGAATGTTACTTAGTTAGAATCATACAGTATGTAGCCTTTTCAGATTGGCTTCGTTCACTTAGCAATATGCATTTAAGGATATCTCCATGTAATTTCATGGCTTCATATCTCTTTTCTTTTTATATATTTTTTATGCCTGTGTTTCACTAACGCTTTATTCACAAAACAAGCAGAGGGCCAGCTTTTTCTGACTTCTGATTTAGAAAGCTCATTTCTTTTAGCACCGAATAATGTTTCATTGCATAGTTGTACCATACTTTATTTATCCACTCAACTATTGAAGGACATCTTGGTTGCTTCCACATTTTAGAAATTAAAAATAAAGCTGCTATACCCAGCTGCTGTGGCTCAGAGGCTGAGCATCAACCTATAAACCAGAAGGATACAGTTCGATTCCCAAATTGGGGCACAGGCCCTGGTTGTGGACTCAATCCCCAGTAGGGTGCATGCAGGAGGCAGCTGATCAATGATTCTCTCTCATCATTGATGTTTCTATCTCTCTCTCCCTCTCCCTTCCTCTCTGAAATCAATAAAAATAAAAAATGTTTAAAACAAAGTGGCTTACTATTTTGTTTTCTCACCAGCAGTGAATAAGAGTTCCTGTTGTTCCACATCTTT